TTTTTTTTTTTTTGGGGGGGGGGGGGGTGGGGGCTTCAGCAACATCGTTAACAAGGATTGGTAGCCGGCGATTTTGACATTTTTGGAATTTTTTTTTCCATCACGCGAAGTATTTCTGTCATCGCACCAAACACTTTTATCACAGTTTATCCTAATGATGATATGCTGATAGCTCAGATAAATTTGTTGTCTCAAAAATCAAACTTGAAAATTTGGAAACCAAGGCTATGAACTAGAAATCGACTCGCATTCCTACCTTTGCCGTAGTTTTCTAGTGCGTTATATTTGGTGAAAATTCTTGCTACCTTACACATATTGAGAAATCGTAGATTCGAAACATAATCCTTAAAAGCTTCAACTTGCCATTCAAGATAAAAATCTTGTTATTGAGACATCTGGGCTCTTTTCAAGATTTTAAAAATTAAGTGCAGTAGACTTGAAACTCCAGGTTTTTTGCTAATTTGATATGGCAGCACACATAGCCAAAATTCAGCTTTTTGTGCCTGATGTTTCCTGATTCGGGATTTTTTTCCTCAGCTCAAGCTAGTAGGGCGAGTTGCAAACCCTGAATATTTGAGTTTGTTTATAACTTCATAATAATGACCCAAAAATCACATTTTCAACTTCCTTAGGTTTTACCACAGAAGCGCGCATTCAGAAAAAGCAAAAATTGTTGCACTGAAGAGGGAGGCTTTGAGTGATAAGAAGGTTCCGATTTACGTGTGACTAGCACCCCTGAAGGTTAAAACTACTTCAATCCAACTTTTGTATTCATTCTCTGTAAACTTGCGGTAACTTTTGCATTAAATTTTCTCTGCGCTGGTCGTTGATGTGAACGCTGTTTATTGCTTATGCATTAGCGTTGGTTGAGAACGCATTTTGTGCACGTGTTTCACGCACTCATTTACAGTTTTTATTCACAAAGTTTAAAACAAATGGCAGTAACTTTGCTTTAAAAAAGACGCAACTGAAAACAGTTGCGATTTACAAACGCTGATAAAGAATGACGAAGAAATCCCCTTGCTAAATTTTGTGACCGATATTGTGAATCCTAGCACCAGTTCCTCAATTTGACTGCTTTAAATATGCAAAAGTTTGATTTACTAAAATAATTTCCAATAAATTATACATTCAATTTTAAATTTTGAGGCGTTTACAAAAAATTTTCATGGATGGAAAAGCACACTGGAAAAAATCGCTTTTTCACTCACTAAACAAACAAGAGGTTGTGCCACTTCTGCGTTTAGCCGTTAACTATTCATATATGTCAAAAACTCATTACTATTTAATAGTGGCAGTATATGAAGCAAAATAATAATGATCAATACACAACTTCGACACCTCGGAATAGTTAAAAGTTCTTCAGGTACCTCTGCCGGAAAGACCGCTAAGTTGGTAGTTCCTGCAGGATACGGAAAGAACGCCAAAATCGCAACAGGCGTGCAGTACTGGTTACGGCAATTAGGTTACTGGTTAGCTGCCTTCAGGAAGCGAAATGAATACCAACATGAGCAGACTAACCATCAGGCTTGAGGATCAATAGCAATTAACTAAAGTATCAATGCAGCAATCAAAAAGGCTCTGTATCGAATTCAGAACCCTCTATTTCTTTTAATTATTTGTTTTACCACTTTACCATTTCTTGTTCCACTATATAGCCTTCCTGCGCCATTACTCACAATACAGTGATTCCTCTTTCTACCCAGATCTCTTTTTTCACTCAGTTCTCATCCTCTCCCCTCTACCCAGTGATATAGTACTCTTCTGTGGCGCACCATCATGCAAAAAATTTAAACATCCTGTGCTTGCTAAAGTGAATTCACAAAAAAATGTCAGAGCTGAGTCAGATGTGTTGGTGCATTTCTTTGACTGCTATAGTTGTAGACTGGTAAACCTCTAAAAAGGAAAAGGGGCTTCGCTGTAGTGGTACTGGAAGGAGGAATGCTGCTGCTTTTGGTACTGCTTTCAGTAACTGGAACGTTGGGGCTAGTGCCGCTCGGCTTCTTATCTCCACCATTACTGTGGTCGGTGTTATTATTGTTTTCAATAAAATCAAATGGCCAATCGAATTCAATGCTGATAACTAGCTCTGCATAGTTATTCTTATCGTCCTTGCTGTTGCTGCCGCTGATATCGTATATCGCCGGAATATCGACGCTTAAGATTATGGACTCCTGACTATAATTGCTACCGTCATCGTTTCCGTCAGGAAGTTCGCCGAAATGAATGCGAATGAATTTCAAAACATCGTTTTCCTTAGATGACGTTGCAGTGGTTGCTTCTGCTGCTGGTGTTTTCTCTGGCTTTGCCGTTGTCGTGGTTTGTGCTGCCAGTGCAGCAAAAGAAACAAAAAGTGTGCAGTAAAAAATAACTAGTATCATATCACAAATTACAGAATAACACTGCGAAGAATATTTAATTTTTGTTCAGTACCTCTTCGGACTGCACTTATATGCCTCTGACTCAGTGGTTCCCAAGCACTAAAATTCCTTTTTACCATTTTCTGCACAAATCAATAAAATTGACGAACAACAGACGCAAACTTGCGCTTTTTGCGCTTTGTTGCGCAGTAGCACTAAGATTATTCTCAGCAATAGTTCTAAACGCGCATTCACGCTTGAAATGTTTCCTTGGTCATTTTTATGCGTTTTTGCATACATGTAAATTGCAAAAACGCATATTGGGAAGGGATGTCTGTGTGTGTGTGTGTGTGTGTGTGT